GATGTCATCATAAGTAGGTATGAAGAAACTACAGTTTGGTATGGCTAAACTACAGTCTGTTAGTGCAGAGAAGTTTTTTAGGAAACAGAAAAAGTAAATAAGAAATAAAAATTGAATGGGTTTAATATTCAGTTCAGCTGTGCAGTTATGACTGTATTGCATTTAGCTCACAGAAAAACCCCAATGCTCTCTACTATATCTGCAATACCTTTGAAATACATCACCTGCAGCAGAATGCTGAATGCTGCCTAAGCTTTGATTTTCTGAAGTTTCGGTTAAACAATGAGCTAGGGCTGAAAAAATAACTAACGGGAAGCTACCACTATGTGTTAATGTTTTCCTCTTTCTGATCTGTGCTGTATGTTTACAGAACCTTTACCAAAGCATTCTCATGTGCCTGCTGTAACCTGCAGAATTATGAGCAGCTTTTAAACACACAAGTCATAGTTTTTTCAATATAAATTAACCAATATAAGTCCACTTTTACTGCAATAATTTGCTATATACCTATTCTGGCTAGTTTATTTTCCTCGGATTTAGCCAACCTAATGAGATACAGCCAGTTGTTTAATGAAGTTTAATTTTTTAAATTTATTTTAATTAGTCAATTCAACAATCAGTACAGTGTCTTGGTCTAGTAAACCATTCATAGGATAGTAAATGGTATCAGGTCATGCAAAAGTTTAAAATTGCATTACTCTGTTTTGCTTTCCTTTTGAATACCCTATAAAATAAAAATATATTAAATTCTTAAAAAATGATTAATAAGTAAGTAAAGATAATTGGGATGATAACGTGACGACTTTCAACTGAGGAATTTGTAGTTGTTTCGTATACTCAATGTGTTATGTAATATTATTTTTTGTTGAGAAACACTATTATTAAACATTCCCCAAAAGAGGAAATAATAGTGCAGAAGACATTAAAGAGGAGCTGGCAGGTACTTTTCTTGCTGTTGTCATCTGTGGAGTGCAGTGTAGTTTTGCCCTGAAAGTTTTTTGAACTGCTGGCTTACTACTGTTTAGCCAGTGCTGAATGAGTTGAGTACAATTCTATTACTGCTTGCCAATCATGAAAATAAAAAAATCTGACATTTGACAGAATAGCTGTTAAGTAACTTCAGACAAAGGCTTGTTTTACTAGTGTACCTCTCCTGCTTGACAGAGACAAACAGGGTTCCGGATCTCTGTTTCTAGGGACTGTAGGAAGAGGGTAGGGCAGCTGGCTTCCCAGTTATATGCATAACCTTTGTGAATTCTCTCCTTGGTGTTGGAAGAAGTTTTAATTGTGGAGACTAAAATGACTTAGCAAACTATAATAAACTACTTTCATCTTTGTTGAATACCTATATATAAATACAAATGTGGAAGGTGGCTCATTTTGGTCTCCTTTATTTGGAAGCATCATTCAGGTGACTCCTCGTGTTGCTCTCAAATGTGTTGCCTTAGTGCTTTTAGCCTGGATATGAATCTTAGAAATATAGAATCATTTAGGTTGGAAAAGACCTTTAAGATCAGAGTCCAACCATAAACCTAACACAAGTCCAGTATCTTTTTTTTTTCATACTTTTCAGAAACCATGTGCTCTTTCAACAATGTAGTGAAGTCAACTATATATAGAATGGATTTAGATGGATACACATGGGAAAGCTTTTTCTGCTTATTGCTGTTAATGAATGATCTGTAGCCAGACTCGGCCTATATTTTTATGGGGAAAATATGATTTGACAGTTCTCCATCCAAATCTATGTTTTTCCCCATTTGTACTCTGATATGTACACTTTAATCAGTAAAGCATAGTTTAATGTTTTTAAAAAGTGCTGTTTTCCTTTTTTAAAAGACTTCCATAAGTAAGTTGAACTTTGAACTTTTTGTTTCTGTTCATCTTAAAATGCTGAGCTGGAAACTGGCTATTCAAGAACTGGTTCAGGAATAAACTTCATTCATGTCTCAAGGGCAATGGCATATACATCAGATGGAGGGGTAGATAATAGAGCAAGTATGACCTGATAAGTTTGGGTATGCAATTTTAATGTGCTGCCTGTCAGAGTCCCAGCTGACAGAGATGGAGTGGTGCCAAAACTAAAATTTTACAACTGGTTTTGTGTCACTTCTCAGGCAGAAGACTGTATTTGTTTGCCAGGCTGGTTAGGGCTTTGAGCAACCTGGTCTAGTGGATGTTGTCCTTCCCCGTGGTAGAGGGGTTGGAATGAGATTGTCTTTCCAACCCAAACTAATCTATGATTTATTAAAAGTAATTGTCCCATGGGTAACTACTACTCTCAGATGGTTTCACCCAGTGGATCCTTAGACTCTTGCAAAACCTCAGGTATTTTTCTTAAACATATATTTCGGGGTAGTGGATGAATTCAATAATTGCTCTGTGATTCAAGACAATTTTTTTAGCTTGTGATGCTCCCCTTTCAAAAATTATTGATAAACCATGAGAAAGACTGAAGAATACGTAAGACTACAAAAGCCCATGTCAGTGAGCAAAGCAGAAGCCTCCAGAAGGTATTTGGGGAGGTCAGATTTTAATTTTCAGCAGAAAGTTTGGCAGTAATTTCAGGGTTTCTATCTTGTGTGACATGGTTGTGTCTGAAGCCTTGGCCATGCTACTTGGGATGTAAAAGCAGGCCTTGCTTTTAGTGGTTGTGTGACATATCACTTAGGTACTAATTTGAGCAAACATTTTAAAAGCAAGTGATAGGTTTGTGAAGAAATGAAGGCCTGGTTATACCCAGAAATAAACCCAGCTGTTCAGCAGCTGTGCTTGTGGTGGCAGTTGTACTCAGAGTTCAGATCTGGCTGAAATAATAATAATAAAAAAAAATTATAAAAACTGTGGTGTATCCTGGTTCTGATTTACAATATCCCAAGGAAAATAAAGTAGCCAACAGCCAATTGTGAATTAATGTAGATGTTGTTTTACAGGACTTATTGTATTATCCTGGCAACACATGATGAAGATGATGCCATTTTGTTGAGTTCATGGGATGTGGCTAGAGGTTTGAAATATATGGAAGTGAATGTGACGCTTGACGTTTTAGAACATAAACTTTTTATGAGTAGTTAAGAGAAGTTAATATGATTCTTTCATTGGGGAAAAGTAAACCACAAGTTTTCCTGTATTAAAAAGAATGTTTTAAATGCCATGAATTTAATGAGTATAATATATTAGAAACATTTGTTAATATCTTCCTGAGCTTCTTATATCCTGAACTGCATTTGGGGGAAAAAACCACCTGATTGAGTAAACTTAAACACAAACCCAGATATCAACACTAAATAAGTCCTTTATAACTAGTTTTTTTTCAAAAGTCTCTTCAGAAGGCTACCTCATTGAAAAAAATAATTGACTTTTCATTCTGAGTCTTTACTTAAGAATTATTTTTTATCTTATACTATTTTGTATTAAAGTTAACAGCAAATTGTCTTATTCCTTGACAAGTAAGATGCTAAGACCAGCAGCATTCTCAAAGTGGTCACACAGTCTCAAAGTGGCCTTTTCCTTCTCTTCAAACCTTTCTAAAGTCCTTGGAGGCAGCAAAAAAAGCAGGTCATGAATGCCATGTCCTGACAGATCTTCTGTGGGAAAAGAGTGCCCTTTTCTGCTCATGGTTGTACAACTTTCTGGTGGGCCAGTGATTCTTTTTCCTTGCCATTGCTTATGGCAAAGGATTCTGCAGCCTTCCCCAGTTGTGAGAAACTTTGGAGCTCCTTTTTCCTTCTGATGTGGCCAAAGAAAAATGTGGGACATGTTTCCTACCTTACAGACTCTTGGAGTTTGCTGCCAGTGTTTTATTTGTTGGCAGCCTTGGCAGGCTCTTCGGTTCATGCTCAGGGCAAGTTACACCTTGGTGATATTAGATACTTCTTACAAATTTTGGAATCACTGAAACATGTCAGTTTAGTATGTGAATGAGTTTTGGAGGGGAATAAGAAACTGCTAGGGCAAGCGAGCCTTTCAGACTGTGTAGACTCCTGATTCTCATTAGGCTAAGGACTAGAAAGTGGTTTGGTTGTTTTGTTTTGTTGTTTTTTTTTTTTTTAAAAAAGAAAGAACTGATTCAGAATATTTTAAATGGCACCATTAGCCATTCAGAGTGTGCCAGTTCTGGCAACTTTCCTGGTTAGTTCAATGAGCACTGCATGCAATCAAATGCTCCTTTAATTGGGAGCTTATTTAGCTGCATAACTTGAGGAGCCTAAGGTTTGAATGTTCTGGCCTTTGCATCTGTTTAACTTGTACATCGTAAATTCCTCTGAAACAACTTTCATATCATATTTTTATAGAAAGTAAGGTTGGTGTTTCTTAAGAGGCAGAGTTGTAATGTTACAGTATCAGAGGTCAATCTCTCAAAGACTTATAATATGATAAATCAATTGTGAACAAATGCATTTGTAGGTTATTAAAAAGCCACGTGGCCAGACAAGTGAAGAGAGTGAGCACATTCATTTGTCTCAAATGACAACAGAGTGCTCACATGCCTTGATATGTACCTGTTAAAGGAATTCAAGTATTTTCATACTAGATCAGGTGAAGACAAGTATAAAGTTAGTCGTGTGCTCCACTGCATGCACATATATGTATGTGTGTCTATAAATTTGTATACATGTATGCGTATATACACACTCCTAGTAGAGTCTTAGCTTTGAATCTGTCCTGTAGATAGACTCCCTTTTTGGTTCACAAGACAGGGAAATTGGGGAAAGAGCTGCAGGGTCCTCAGGTCTGTGGTGTCCTCAGAAATGGATCTGCTGTTGAATATTCTCCATACTCAAGTCTGCGGGTGTCCTCTGTAAGCAAAGTGTCACGGATTGGAAGAAGGCTGAAAGAGTCTTGTCCTGACAGGCTGGCTCTGGTCTGCAGGCTGGTTTCTTCCACACTAAATAATAGGAATAAACATAGTAAATGAAAGTCTGTATAGTGAATCCCACTAGCACTATGTTTGTACACAATTTTTATTTTTATTTTTTATTTTTTTCTTACAGGAAAGACTGGATAGCTCCCACAATGGAGGACGGGAAGCCCGTTTGGGCTCCACACCCAACTGATGGGTTCCAGATGGGGATGATTGTGGACATTGGCCCTGACAACTTAACTATTGAACCTTTGAATCAGAAAGGCAAGGTAAGTGTTTCACAAACAAAAAGATAGAGAAAAATCTTACAAACCCATTTTACCTGATCTTTGCCAATATCATTACACACAAGTGTGAATGAGTGGAAAATAATTTTTCCAAGTTTGGCTAAGAATCTTTGTTTAGTTTTAGCTCATGTTGGAAATGAAACATCCCACTGAGAAGAAGTCCATGCTTTCTGTCAGTTATCTGCATGTATATTGCATATGTGCTCATGAAGGAGAAAAGGATTGAATCCCTGTAGCATTTGATTCAGTACCGTATACTTTACTTTTATAAATTAGAGACTGGTTAAGAGCCTGCTGTTGAGATTAGCTTCTCTTCTTCCCCTTAAATGCATAGAGGTATCCTAGGCTTTGGTTTAGATTAGACACTTCAGTGTAAGGCTGATGAAGATAAAGACATGAATCCTCTTACCTCAAGAACCTTGAGAATTAACATGATTTCAAACAAAGGTTCTGTAGAATTACTGCATCAAATTAAAGGCAAAATAAATGTAACTTTAAAAATTAAGTCCTCATTGATCCTATTCAGTGTGTTCCAACTGTTTCATTTCTCATTACATTTTTGAGATCCTTGTAATTAAGTATCAGTTTTTACAGGAAGTACCTTGTATCTATCAATTATCCTAATTCAGATGGCAAGTATTCTGGTGTTTACTAACTGGGATAAGATCAGACACTGTTTTAAAATGGTAATTTTGGTCTTAGTGAATATGTGATATGTGCCCTTTCTAACAGTTTTGTCCTGTCTGTGTGTCTTCATGTGTGGAAAAGACAAAATTATTTGTGTAACTTCTTTTTCACATCAACAGTAATAGGGAATGCTGTGTCACAGGTCAAAAGGTTATGCAGCAGTTCTTCCTTTCAGAGGGAATGTCTTTTCTCTATGTCTTGGAGAGGAAGTTGATTCTAAGCTCTCCTTAGAAAGATAAAGCAAGTGTAATGTTTGATTTTTGTGCACGTGAGATAAAGTCTGTAGGTTTAGTAACAGTGGTATGCATTCTTCAGTTTGCAGAAGAGGAAGATTACTCAGGTGAAAATACCAAATATTCCCAAACTATGGTTTAAGTAACTTTTAAATGATTTAGACCCCTGCCTCTATTTCTGTTTATATCCCCAATGGGTTCTGATGTGATAAAAAGCAAAAGTCTGTATATTGAAACAGAAACAGGCAATAAAGACATTCCTGAGTTGCTATTTATTTCTCATATATGCTTCTTTCAGGGACTATGTATTGTTTTTTTTTTTATCTGTATATTGAAACAGAAACAGGCAATAAAGACATTCCTGAGTTGCTATTTATTTCTCATATATGCTTCTTTCAGGGACTATGTATTGTTTTTTTTCTAAAATATGGATGTTTTCCTTCATGATTCACAAGGAACAATCTCTGTTGTCTAGTAGTTTGTTATTCTCCTGTTAGCTGTTTTGCTGAATTAAGCAGATCCATTAATTAGAGGCCTAATGTCCACTTACTTAAAGGAATGAACACTTCACAGTTAGACGTTTAAATACCATAGAGATTATGGTCCTATATTTCTAATTATCAAACTTCCTTTTATTAACAGAGGCAGATAAAGCATTTTCTTTATTACCTTCTTAGTCTTTTCAAGGTGTCATTGACTTCTTCTTATAGTGAAATGTTTCTTACTGGTTTTTGTCTTTTTAAGAATACTCTGTTCATGTGTGCTTAGACCATTAATTTTAAGTAGTCAGCATCAATACCCATTATTATCAACTTTGTTTACTCAAGTGATAGTTCAAAAGTGCTCTTCACTAAGGAGTGATCCAGCAGCTCCAGAGTTACCCGTGATAATTACAGGGAGGAGAGGAGTAACCTGATCTCGTAAACATACCCGGGCACTGTACCTTATTATTATTTTTTAATCTGGGTCATTACTATGTCATATCTATTCTCTGTAGATGCTGGTAGTTTACCAGAGATCACAGGCTAAAACGGAAATGTGTATTCATATGTGTGATTGTTGCATTCTATACCACTTAATGGTTAATTGATATATGTTGTTAATAACTGCAATAAATGCTGCAAGGCAGCAGCTTTATGATGTCTCAGTCTTCCCTCCCTTCCCCACCCATAGCTCGCTCTGGTGTTACAGAGTGACATCTCTCAGCTCTGCCTGCTGAGCTGTGTGTGACACAGCAAATGAGGTCAGATAATGGATCCAACTGAAAAATGAAGAAGTGGGAAGTTTTCAGGGTGGTAGCAAGCAGTGGCAGGAGGATGGAAGACCTGGGGCCAGAGTGGCCATAAATTGCTTTGTATTATGAAACCAACTTACTCAGTCCAGACAGGGTGAGGGTAGTTGGCCAACATGCCAATTTACTTATAAACCAGCAATAGCAGTTTTGAGTCCTGCAGTCCACACATAGTTAACAAAGCATTTACATCTCCATGCAGAGGCTGGGTGTCTAAAGAGAGGTAGGGATCTGAGTCACCCAGCCTGTGCTGTACAAAGAAGGGGAATCCAAGCTGTGGGAGCCTGTTATCAGAGCAGGGGGTGCATGTGTTACATGATGGGAGCTGCTCCACAAAAACTAGATCATCGGCTTGCAAGGCTGGTAAATGCCATGACTGGAAAGAAAGCAGAGAAACTGGAGAGGGGTTTGCTAATGAGCGTGGTCCCACCTGGCGCTGGAGCACTGCCCTAAGGATAGGCTCTGAACCAGACCTGTGTCCCACCAGCAGTCACATGCTGGTGTACAAGGAAGGAGGCGTGTAGAAAGGCAGCCCCTTGTTAAGCTCGCCTAGTATTGCATTCACACTTCTACTTGGAGGGTACTTTTCTGAACTCACTGGGAATCCTAACCGCAGATCCTGTTGCAGATATATATATATATACATATATATATATATATATATATGTATATTGCTATGTTGTTTGGTGCTAGAACAGGGAAAAAGCAGATATTGATGAAATTGCCAAATGGGGAATTTACTCTTTTCTTGGAGGTAGCAAATTTCAGTGAAGAGATTAGGAAGTGATATCTCGCAGTGGCTTGACCTGAGATGCCCAGGATGCTTGTGGCACTGAGGAGCAGGGGACAGGCATTTCCTAGAGCATCAGCAGCAGAGAGTTTCTGGCAGTTGTTGGGAGGGCACAGAGTGCTGCAGGCACCTGCTGACACCCTTTCCTGTCAATGAGAGGGACCTTATGGCTTTGTGCCAGGTCTGAGGGGTCAAGGAGGGCTTTATGGGGCACCTGCTCTGGTATGCTGTGAATAACCAGAAAGGTATTTCCCTGGGCTAAGTATAAATGAATAAACGTACTTTGAAAGTAAGGATCAGAACGTCCAAAGTTCAGTGTTTCAAGCTAAGGATTTTTTTAGCAGTCAGCACAGCTTGTTTCTGTGAATGAGACATGTTCTTGTCTGTCTTACACACAGTTTATACTGCTTTGGGTTGGTTTGTGAAATACAGCTGATGGTAGGGGTGTCTCCTGTCTGTATTTGGAAGGTATAAAGGAAGGCATGGTTACATGTATTGGATTACATGGTAGAAAGAAGATCCTACTTGAATGGAAAGATATCTTTTTTCACTCATCTGGTTTCTGGGAGAATATTTAAGATTGCCATTGCATTTCAAGGGCTGCTTCATTACAAAGAGGGGAAAAAAAACAACCCTATAAAAATCTGTAAAACCTCTCTTTTGCTTTGTGAGACCACTTTAGTTTCTGATAAGATTAATATCCTTTTCATTTTCTTGGAACACGTTTGTCCTAAGCTATGTTTTATGCAAAAGTCTTCTACCAAATGAATGCCTTAAGTGTTTTTTTTCTTACAGTAAATGTTAAAAAAATAATAATGGAACAACATAGTAAAGAATTTATTTGGATAGATTTTTATTGATAGACGTGGGATACTTTGCCCATTCTCTAATTTAATATATTAGATTTTAATAGTAATTAGGCCTTGGCACATCCAGCTGTGGCATACAGGAATGAAAATTCTTTGTTGATGTAGTTAAAATTAGGCTTCATGTTCAGATCTAAAAAAGTCCAGCAGAAAAACATAAGCTTTTCAGATAAGCCTTCTTCATATTGCTTGTTTGTTTTTTACTTCTGAAATATTCTAGAAATTACTTCACAATTCACATTGAATGAAAAAAGTGAAGGGAGACATAATATAGCATGAATTATAATTATTTTCTTCATTTAAATTTATCTTGCATCAGAAGGCTGGGTGGTGAGGACACTGAAGAAGTCCTTCCTTCGTCTTCTGGGATAGATTGGGAATGGCTGGTTTGAGGTCAATGAAATGTAGAAGTATCAGAGATGTGTGAACAGTTTTACAGAATAGTCGGTTATTGTGTTCATTCTTTCCTTTAAAAAAGTGTTAGTGGTTTAACTTGAGTTTACACATCAGCAGACAAGAACAAGAAGTGAAGTTAGATTTTTGTGAAGCCAGCCATGCTCTTTAATTTTTCCAGTCTTTTATGCACAGTGAACTGGTTATGAAAGAGGATGTTGTGTTCAAATGTATCTTTACCTTTATCATTGACAAACTTGCAGTGAAAATTAAAGGGATAATATGTTCTAAATGCTATATCATGAGAGAGAGAGGAAAGGTAGGGGAGAGGGGGAATATCTGCACTACTAAAAACTCTAAATAGCAGCCAGCAACTTTCTGAGGGAGATAAAGATGCCCAGGTTCTCCACTCCTCCTCCAAGGCGTGATAAATGGTATTTTGGCGGAAGTTGATCCAATGGATACTCAGACATTCCAACGTCATTGAGCAGCTCCATTTCCTTTAGGCTTCTTGTGCTTATTTTTTTTGCATTAGAACCTGATAAGCGAATGACAAAATAAAATTTATTGTGGCTACAAATTGCATGCTTTATGGTAACTTTGTAGGGAAGGGATATGGTAGACTTGCTGTTTTCTGACTGGCAGCAATTGATTCTATTCTGAGACATTTTTAACCCTTCCCACCTTGAAGGGAATTTCTGGCAGTTCATAATGCTGTAAACTACAAGAGCTCATGTGTTCTGTCCATTATACTGCAGCAAAGATAAAGCAAAGTACTGTATTTCACCTCAACTTCCCTGTGAGATGTTTCTCTTGGGCTATCTTGCAGAGTACAGTGTTAAACAAGCAAACATGTTTGTTTACTAAGGTAATTCTTTATATCCAGTTGGTTGCCTTTCAAATATTAGACTAGACTTCTTGTCTCCATTTCCAGGGGGGAGAAAGAGCCTGTGCCTGCAGCGCCATGGCAGCTATCGTGTTTAATTGCTAAAACAGGGGTTTTGTTCATTCATAGGTAGCTCCAACAGGCTATTACTATGGTAAACAAAAAGTAGAATTAAAAGCAAAGCCTTTACAATAGTTATTTTTTTGCAGATGCTGTGGTGCGTGTGTGTTGCAATGTTTTCCCTTCCTTTTTTGCAACAATATACATTATGATTTCTGGAGAATAAAGCAGAAACAAAGTTGCTTTTGTTATTAATTTTTCCAGCTGGACATGAGCACTTGATAAATAGCTGTTTTGTATAACTGAAATACGGGGGTTGAAGGAAGGTCTTGTTTGATATTGATTTATTGAAGAACAACAAAACAACAAGCAATAACCAAATCTGCAGTACTTGGGGATACAGAGGGTATTATCTATTGAACATTTGTATTTTAAGTGGGAATGTTTTAAAACAGCATATAATAATGACAGCACAATCCTTTGACTGCACTAATAATTTGGGGTTTGTTCTTTGTGCTTCTTGGCAAAACTGAGGAAGTTGTGTGTCCTTTACAATGCCATTTCCCTTGCAGTATTTATTTTTTATCTTTTTAAAAATTATTATTACACAATCATACAATGACAGTGCACTCTTTTCATTACATCAAAATCTTTGAACTATATTTCTATTTTTATGGAATTCTGACAATCTTAATATTTTTCATCTAATAGACTTTCCAGGCTGCTATCAATCAAGTGTTTCCTGCAGAAGAGGACAGCAAAAAGGATGTAGAAGATAATTGTAAGTTATGAATTTAAAAATAAATGATGCATTAAAAAAAAATATATATGCATAGAAGGGAATATTGTTTCCTTACAAGCTTCCTATTTCTTCCTTGTAGTCTTTATTTTGCTTCCTTGCTTAAATTTATTTATGACCTCTACAAGTCCTTTAATTTTATTAAAGTAAGCCCATTTGAAATATAATTTATTGTGTTTTTTTGGTTTTCAGTTGAAGTTTCAGTGTTAGGAACTCATTGCTACATTATTCCCACATACAACTGTTATTTGACTTCAGATACATATCAGCTGTCACCAAACTACATCAGGATCAACTGCATTCAGCACTGGGGGAGTTAACTATATCTTTTATAGTTCAGCAAAAGAATGTGTTGCTTTATCAGCAGCTGTGTTGTGTACAGCATTTTCCTGCATGTAACCCATTTCCCAGATAGCATTCCTGTGGCAGTACAGGTAATTGAAAATAAATTTTAAGATAACTTTCCTAAACCTGGAGACAGAAATCTTGGACCCATTGTGGCCACCAGAAATGGAAATAGGTTATACAGGAGTGCTGCTGGAGGAGTGTTGAGGTGAATTTGTGTAATAATCTTCAGTGTTGATCTGCAGGGCTTTTATTTTGTTAAATATTTTAGTTAGATGTGTGGAAACAAATACACTATTCAAATCTGAGGAAAAAGGGAAGAGTACCAAGAAAGGAGAGTAAGTGCTGGGATTAACTTTTAGGGAATTGAAACGCAATTTGCTGCTGGTGCTCTGTGTGAGCAAATCACAGAGACTCTCCTGTCCTGAAAACCTTATGAAGGCAACTCTTTTAAATGTTTCCCGTGGTGTTTACTGGTTAGTGAAAATACTGATAACTTTGTAAATGGTCGGCAGAAGTATCTTCTATTGTTCTTCAGTTAATATGGAAGCTAGGGCTTTGAAAGTTGTTTAGGTGATTTAACTGCAATTCCTGTTTTGGAATAGGGGTTAGTATTTATATCCAGTGACAGGAAATACAGCTGTTATAGCTGCTTCATAAGGAGCAAGCAGATGAGACCCGAGGCTTTTGATCTGACTTAGGTGTTGCAGTGTTGTTACAAGCAGAACCAAGCTGGTAGCCTTGCTTCATGTTGCTTATAGTTTTGGAAACACCATGTAGGTTGAAACTTTGCAAAGCTGATGTCTGTATTCTCCACCCATGACAATGGGTTATGGAAATGTACCTCCTGGCACCTCAGAGTCCTAGTCAGGGAACTGATATTTGGAACAAGGTTATGGAAATAATGTGAGATTCCATTAAAATACTATTAAATTAAGAGAAAACAGTTGCCTTATCAGAAAAAATGTCTTCTTTGGCTTACAGAGCAAAATGTAAAACTTAAAAATGCTTTTGACTAGTAATTCTTTCTCTATCAAACATTATTTTCAGACCTTTTTAATGAGTTCTGAGTTTTTGTTCGCTTCTTGAGGTTTATCTCTTCAATGTGTGAAATCCAAGTTCATTTCTGTCAGAGAGCATTTCTGCTGAGAATAATTTACTTTTAAGAGGAAATTTTATCAAATACTAAGTGCATTCAGTCTCTCCTCATAATACTGTTTTGAAAAATCCTGAAAAACAAGTTAATAATTACACTTACCATTCCAACCTATGCTTCAGTGATTACTTCCCTTCTAGGAAGTAATTTGCTGAAGTATTGCTTTTTTCCACCCTTAGTCTTCAGTATCCCAAATGCACTAACTGCAAGAGACACCTTTTTGAGAATCAAGCCCTTTGTCAAATGTGCACTTTAGTAAATGTTGCAAACAATACAGACACAAAGCATTTGCTTCTTTTTTTGTTTGTTTTGTAATTAACACTCCTCTCTGCTCCTCCCTAGCCCCATGCAGTTCTTGGGAGTTGTCACTGCATGTGGATAATTTTATTATTTTATTATTTTATTATTATACCTTTTATGGCTAAGAAAAATATTTTATTATTAATTTATTTCTTTTTATTTCTAGGGGGAAACAATTTTAAAAAATGAAAGGGGGCACAGAGTATCAGATAAAAATATTCTGCAAGTGCAGAGCCTTACAATTACATAATAAAATAATTTTCCATACAAAGCCTGCTTCATTCTGTGCACAGGAGAGCCAGCATGAGTAAATTTGGCAATGTTCTGTCCTAGTTTCTAGTGCCTAACTTCACTTCTGTGAACTTTGTGTGTGTGTCTAAGTAACTATATGGACTATTAAAGGCACATACATACACTAGCTATATTTAGGCATGAGCTGTATGAATATTCAGAATTCTTCCTCTGGTGGCTTCTGTTGCCTCTGGATATGGATGCCTCATTTAAGTGATTTATTTATTATGCATTTTGAAGTTGCTGACATAAGCCTTAGCTTGCATGTCTTGGGTGAAGGTGGTGACATTCCCTCAGGGAGCAAGCTCCCATTATGCACCAAGTCTGCAGGTATAACTACTTTAACAGGAACTTGCAAAGAGTACAGAGGTTGCACTGAAATCTGGGGTCGTTTGTTTAGATAATGATCAAGTTTTTATTAGGCCGCTTAACTGATTACTGTTTCCTATAAAATATACTATATACCCTGAGAGGTCCTTATGAAGATACAGTCAAAGAAGATAATTTCTGTTAGTGTATGTAGGCAATTACTCTGTAGTAGTTTCTCAGCTCAATACTGAGAGTCCAAATGACTTAAAAAATTAGCGAACTTCAGAAGTTACACCCTGCCCCCCTTAAGATGCATGCAAGGGGAGAAAGCCATTTTAACTTTCATTAGAGGAAGCAGGATTTTCTGTTTCTGTCTCTT